GTATGTATGTATGTATGTATATATATATATATATATATACACATACACACACCAAGCACTTGTGTAAATAATGACGACCATAAAACTGTCGCGTTTTCTCTCAGTTTAGACCCTACATCGTTCAGACTGCGGTACTGCGAGACTTCTAGCATTCAGGGTGAAGCTAAGGGCATTACGGCGATTGGATTTAGTTGGGGGGTTTACCTGGAGGGTCCATACATATTATGGAATTAGGTCCCCAATACCATAGCAAGGATGGTCTTCTGGGACCCAACACAGGAACGACCGCAAAAGCGGACCCTTTGGGTAGTCATTCAGGATTTTCCAGGACAGAGGGCATGCAAATAAAGGTGTGGAGATTTAGAACTGGGGTTTTGGGCTTCGTTTCCCAACTTTAGGGCCTAGCATTGCTTTGTTCTTGAGGACTTGGATCAGCCCGAGCACCTTGGGAACAGTCTTTGCAGGTTTGGAGAACCCCGAAAGCCTAAACTCCTACCCCCAAGCTAAAGCGTAGCATTGCAGGATAGGCCTAGTGCATGCTTGGAATTGAACTGGTGACAGTCTCAGCCCGAAAACTCCAACCCCCAGATTCCTACAACCCTGAAGCTTCAACCTTAAAGCCCAAAATCTGAAACCATGAAGTCTAAACCTTAAAAGCAATACACCCTAAAACACTTAAACCTAAAACCCAAAGCCCTCCAAACCCTGAGTCCTGCAACTCTACCCCCCTAAACTTTACCCTAAACCCGACCTTCCCCGGCTGCTTAGCCTTCGTCGAACCCGACGCGCGCTTCGTTTGGGTCGAGGAGCGTACGGCCATAGACCTTCCCGTATGTATCCCTTAGTTAAGGAGTATATCTTAAATACCATACTATTCTTGGGCTTGTTCCTTAAAGGAACCATTGTGAAATGAAACTCTATGCTTCTTTCTCCCCGGTTACTTCAAAGTCCAGAAAAGTCACTGTGTGCTGTGAGCGAAAGCCCATCTATTTGTCGTAGTCGCGGCATGTCCTTGTGAGGGAGAAGTCATCCTTGAGCCTTATATGCTGATCCAAAGCCTGCATGCGAGTGCTCTAAATGGCTTGTAACTATACCGCTCTGATCAAGAAAGAAACCCGTGTCATAAAGCGTTCTAATTATACCTTATCCTTACGCAGCGGGTCCGAGGATACTGGCATCATGGACCTGCCCCGTAACATACGAGAGCAAACTCGAATCATGGTTTTGGGGTGCGTAATGCCATGTCACAATAGTAGTGTTCCTGGTGTCCCTTGGCCGTCCTATCTCTCTCTCTCTGTCTATATATATATATATATATATATATATTTATTTACTTATTTACTTACCTATTTATTTATAGTATACACACACATACACACATGTTTCATTTAAACTATGAGCTGAACAGAAAGTAGTACGAAATCCAGTGTATTCAACGAAAGAAATGGGCACTGTGTCAGGAGGTTTCGTCCTGAAAACCCGATACAGCGAACCCCAGAAAGTTGGAACATGAATTCAGGATGACTCGCGCTGGGATTCCCTACAGTTTACCTGAAGGACATGAGGAGGGTTATAAATAAGGTAACTATATTTATAATTACTTATAACCCCAATAAGAGGCACTTATAACCCTACTTACTAAGCTCTATAGTCCCTATAGATCCCTACAAGGAACCCCATAGATCCCTGTAAGGAGCCCTTTTAGGAACCCTTGCTTACTAAGTCCCATGATCCTCCAAGTAATGATGTTCCAACTTTCTGGCTTCTACCGTAAAGTCCTAAGGGTCCGTGTACTCATATAAAGATACATGAGCCCCAAAGTACCTGTATAGGGACTACATTAAGGCCAATGTATATACTATATGAGTACATGGATCCCTAAACCCTAAATCCTTCTAGAACCCTTATAGGTCCCTTAAAGCATCCCTTATGGCACCCTTAAAGGACCCTTAACTATATGAGTACATGGACCCTTTGGGAAGTGCAGAGGAGTCGGAAGAGGAGGAGATGTCTGAGGCTGCGCGTAGGTTTGATGTGGGTTTCTGGAGTGTAGGAATACTTGGAGGCCCTTTTGACTTAGTAAGTAGGGCTAGTAAGGTGGGTTATGGGGATTATAATGGGGTTTCTAGGGGATACTAAGTAGACCTACTAAGTCAAAAGGGCCTCCAAGTAGGGTTTAGGATTCAGGGTTTAGGAATAGGGTTCCTTCAAAGGGGTCTATAAGAGCTACTATAAGGATTTAGTGTAGGGGGCCTTGATAAGTAGGTTTAGTTTGGGTTTTCGGGGGGTTCCTTAAAGGGTTTCTTAAATCGTTAAACGGGGCACCGGGGGATCCATAAGGGCTCCTTTAGAGGGATCTATAAGGGGCTTGATAGGGTTTTGGAGTTTAGGAATAGGGTTCCTTTAAAGGGGTCTAGAAGAGCTACTACAAGGGCTACTAGAAGGATTTAGTGTAGGGGCCTTCATAGTTAGCGTAGGGTTTGGTGTTTACTATGTTTTGCCTTCTAATCAAGAGCCCCCGGAATCACCCTACATGAGAGTTTTGTGGTGTTAGGTTTAGGGTTTGTGGCTTAGGGTACCGGGTCGACGGCTCTACTTGGAGGCCCTTTTGACTTAGTAAGTAGGGTTAGTAAGGTGGGTTATGGGGATTATAATAGGGTTTCTAGGGGATACTAAGTAGACTTACTAAGTCAAAAGGGCCTCCAAGTAGGGTTTAAAGCCCTGAACTGTACGGTCAGGGTCAGGGCTCAGGGTTCGTTTTTTGGGGTTTAGGGTTTCAGGCTTAGGGCGTTGGGGTCTCTATAGTCTCCTTAGGAAGTATTTTTTCAAAACCCAAGAGAGTATTAAAACTAGTTTTTTATTATGGTTCTAAGGGGGGTATAGGTCTATGGTTGAGCGTTAGTGGTGCAGGGTTTGGGTCTCGAAAGCCTCAAGTTCAGGGTCTAGGGCTTACTGCTTGGGGCGTAGCTTAGGTACTGCCCCCATTCAGTAACTTTAAGGCTCTAAGGACTCATATTTTAAGGCTTCTGGGCCTAAAGACCATACTATATAAGGCGTTTGGGCCATTTTGAGCCTTAGAGTAAGAGTCCCTAATAGGGCTACTAGTAAGGTCTTAATATATCTATATTATTAATATTATGCAACTATTGCTGACTGGGGGGGCCGTACCCAAGGTGTAGCCCTTTGGGGTTTGCAGTGGCCGCCGGCCTTTGAGAGACTGCCGCAAGTTGTGTTTAGACACTTGGAATTCGCATGAGGGTTTCGGGACGAAGTTTAGGGTTTTGGGTGTGATAAGGTAAAAGCCAGAAAGTTGGATTATGATTATTATCCTAACCCTTCTATGGTAAATTATAGGGTATCCTACCATGAAACCATATTCCAACTTTTTGGAGTTCCCTGTAGGAGGTTGACATTCAGTGAGAGTTTGTTTTATCGGTTTTTGAGGGTTCAATGTTTCAGGTTTGGGGTTACCTATAGTCTCCAGCTGGTCCACTGTATTTCCTTTCTTTGGTTAACCAATTCTTGACTGTAGGATCCTTTAAAATAGAGCTACGAGGGACACCATAAGTACCAAGTAGCTATTCTTTTATGGTCCTTAGTAATAGCGGGTATTTAGGGTATGGTAGAGGGTAGTTTGGGGCATCTGGGCCTTAAACCCTTGATCCTGCAGGGTGGTCTATCTAAGAGGGAATTCACTGAATACGAAAATTCCCTGGGTTTGGGGTTGGGGTGTATGTTTTAGGGGCTAGGGCTGGGGTCGTAGGGTTTCGCGCCGTAGCTTCACGGGTCGGTCAGGTTCCCCCTTAAACCCTCAGACATACATGCTCAATCCTGCACACCAATCCGCAAAGAAACGAACCTAACCTTGATACCCAGGCCCGGCAGTCTTTGAGCTTAAACCCTAAACCATAAACCCTAAACCTTAATAGTCTGATTCAACCCAATGACTCATCGTACCATGAAGCCCTACTTGCAGGGTCATGGGACTTGGTAAGTAACGTCATAAGAACGGTAGCTATACTTGTAGCTGTTTGTAGCCCAGCCAAGGTACAAGTAGTAATAACCTTACTTACCAAGTCCCATGATCGTCCAGGCAGCTCCAATCATGTAGGCTCTCAGGTGACAGCATTGGGGCTGAGGGTCATCATGCAAGTCTGCCAACTCTAGAAAGCTGGAAACTGGAACAGGGATGAGTTGTGCTGCTATTCTTACACCCTAAACCCCAAAAGCCCTATAGTTCCATTAAAGGGTTCCTTAAAAGGGATACCCTAGCTCACTAAGGGTTCTTATTGCAGCTGCGCAGAGGACATAAGTTTCCGAAGTTTCGGCAGGTATGCTGAGGGCATACTTGGACTAGCTCAGGACTGTAGGTTAGGTTTCGGCGGCTTATAGGGTTTGAAGGGCCTTCAAGACGCATACAACTCATCTTTCGCCACCCAGCTTCTGGCTTGCGGCAAGGCCACTTGTAAACCATCGAAGCCTCGAAACCTGGCATTGCAAACATGACATATGTAGTACAGTAAGATCTTACAAATTACAATATAGTATAACATAGTTCAATAAGGTGTGTGTATGGATGAAGGTAGAAGTGCACAGTTGTCTTGCACATTTACACCTTTGTATGCATACGTGCATGCAGGCATACATACATACACGCGTACATACCGTGCAACCCATACTTACTGAAGAGGGAAGATCCGTCCCAACAACATCGTTCTGAGAATGCACCAGACATCGTTTTGCTCCCGCAGCACTTCCATACTGATTGTCGTCCGTACACACATGCGTCAATGTATATATATATATATGTGTGTGTGTGTACATGCAGAATCATGTACATGAAATTCTTCTAGTTCCTAGTTTTTCTCAAAAGCACCGTTCTGAAGACGCTTAGAAGTAGAAAGCTCACTCCACGCCGATTCGACAATCATCATGGCATTGTAACTGAAGCCATGCCTTTAGGGTTTAGGGTTTAGGGTTTAGGATCCCTAATTGAAGCCATGGCTTTGGCTGCTTCCCCCGCGGCTCTGCCCGCCGACCTCGCCGTGAGCAGCACGCTGAGCCATGGGCTTCGCTCGGGTTCCCGGCAGGCCGCTCTTATATTTAGGGTTTACTAACCATTGTTATTATGGGAGCTAAGGAGCCAGGGATGATGATAATCCCTATTAATTAAATAAGGAGCCAAAGAGGCAAGGGAACCCCCAAAACCACTGGTTAGTTTAGCCCAAAGGATCCATGTACCCAAGTAGTATATACTTAGGCCTTAAAGTAGTCCCTATATTGGTACTTTGGGGCCAAAGTATATACTATCCGGGTACATGGATCCTTTGGGTAGGGTTTAGGCTGGAATACAAGACGTCAAGCCCTCTTACAGACAGGGTCTTTTGGTTCTTTACAGCTTTCCAGTTTAGGTTCAGGGGTATACAGCTCTAGTCCTAAACCCTAAACTTTAAACCTTAAGCCCTAAACCCCAAGCCCTGAACTCTAAGCCCTAGACCGTAAGTCTAAGCCCTAAACCCCAAGCTCCAAACTCCAACTGGCAGGTTCTCCCTGCGAGAAAGGCCCAGGGTCGAAGAGGAGATGTGTCAGAGAGCCTTGCCTGCATGAGACGGTTTATGGAGGGTTTAGGGTCCAGAGGTTCAGGGGTTTAGGGTTTAGGGGTTTGGGGTTACGGTTTATCGGGTCAAGGGTTTACGTTTAGGGTATACCCTCTATTGTACCCCAAATACCTTCCTGTATCCCCGAACCCTACAAAATAGTGGGTTACGACCCCTTAATTAGAGGGACTAACCCTTAAAACGGTAGGTTCTTGGATCCACAGGTTCCTTAGTAGCTGAGTGGATACACATTACTTTTTTTGGGATAATATTACACACTACAAAACTAAAAGTGTACACGTTTTGGGGCTTATGAACTCAGCAACTGAGGCTTTAACGGTTGTTCTAAGTGTTTGGGGGGGTTTAGGGTTTACCTAGGACCCCCCCCCCCCCAACTACCCTCTACTATACCCCAAATACCTTCTATTCAGGGCCATACTTGGAGGCCCTTTTGACTTAGTAAGTCTACTTAGTATCCCCTAGAAACTACCTCCGAAGCTTTTGATGCCAACCCGTTCCTTGACCAGGACCCATCTTCGCGTTTCCGGCACACGTTCCGGCCGAGGACGGTCCTAAATTCGAGTCGCCGCCTCAAACAAAACAAAACACTGCTAACGTTCAAACTTGTGTTCATCTCAACTCAGGTACCCGCGGTGGTGGACTCGCCAGATCGCGAACCAGGCCGGAGCACAGTAAGTTAGAGGATAATTCTCGAAAGACTCCGTCGGTAGGTGTACGTTACGACCGTGAGAAGAACTTTCACACCAATCTCGGTGAAGGCTCGGTTGTCGCGATCGATGTCACCTAATTTCTTTTGCTTCTGTTTTATTGCCAGACGATTATATCTACACCGAGTACGAAAAGGCAGGATTCCGCCGGCATCGAGTGAGTACATATCTAGTTGGTTCAGGTTCGCGACTGGCCCACCACCAGTACGGACGGCTTCATCCTCCCGATGGTGATGGTGATCGAGTTCCGCTTAAGCCCCACTTCGGTTTCTTAGCTTCGCTTCGTTGCCTTCGCAAGTGCGCCTGACAGGAAGCTCGAACATTATTGTCGCCTGATGGAGTTGGAGCCGCCGGGGCCTTGGACTCACCGTAAGTACCCTCTTCACGCCTCGTCGCTCAGGCACCGGCTGAGAAAGCGGAATACCCCGGAGGAGCTGTACTGGCAGCTCATGTGGATCCCAAGAAGCGCGGTCCTCGTTCGAGCGATCGAAGCTGCTCGACGAACCGCGTGCCACTCAGGTCAGCGCGACGAGTGATGAGGAGCCACCCGAGCGACGCGGAGTATAAAAGCAAGAAGGTTTGTATAGGTTTGTTGATAATAATTTTTTTTAATTGTAGAGAAGAAAGAAGCTTCAACATAGACGATGCGCATTAAGTAAGTAACACAAGCATTCACGACGCACCAACATGTGCTGCATAAGATGTAGTTGCATTTGGGACTTTTGTATGAGGTATATGTACACATAGAATACATCTATATATAGACTATATATATAGATATATATATATATATATATATGTACATATACATAGAAACACATACACATAGATATATAGTATGTATACATGGGTCAGTTGAATTACATATATATATATATACATATATGTATCTCTCTATTCCTACGGGTTCTAGGAACGTTTATGCCTTGTACGTGCCGCGATTGCAAACCTAGATGTTGTAATAATCTCGGGTTCGTCGATGAAGACTGCAAAGAAGACTACACGACAAGTGTTTGGACTACTTCACCGACTACATTTGCAACATAGTATTTCTTATGACGGGAGATATATTTCTTTGCACGAATAGATTCTATTGACTTTTATCGTTCATTTATCCGATATGTATATATATATATATATGTATATATACATATGTGTAAATAAATAAATATATGTATATATATATATATATATATATATATACACTTATATCTGCTACGGGAATTAGCGATTTTTCTACATTTTATGTGCCGCCATTGCGAGCCTGGATGTAGTAATAATCACGAGTTTGTCGATTGAGACCGAATAGGACTACGTGAAACAAGTGTTTGACGACTTCACCGGCTACATTTGCAGCATAGTATTTCTTTACGACGCGAAATATATTTCTTTGTACGAAGAGATTCATTGAATTTTGTCGTTTGCTTGTATTTATATGTATATACGGATATATATATATATATAGATGTATATATTTATATACGCTTCTTCTGTAGAAGGTATATGTACACATATATACTATATATCTATGTACGTGTATATGTACATATGCGTATATATATATATATATATATATATATATATATGATTTAACAAGCTTTTGCTTGATTGCACGCGCCGCGCCTCTATTTTGTATTCGGTTGCTATGATAATGCACGGGTTTAAGCCTGAGAATTGAAAACTACATCAACAAGCGTGAAGATTCCTTCTCGATTAGATTTGGGACGTACGATGACATTGCGATTGGGAACATTCTTCTTCCTAGAATACAATTCCAGTGGAAGTTTGTCTTTCCAGATCGAAATTGAGAGGTTGCGTCCCAAGCGGGAGGTTGAAATAAGTTCAGACATTGAGCCCCATGCGGGAGGTTCAAGTACATTGAGAGGTTGAGTCCCAAGCGGGAGGTTGAAATAAGTTGAGACATTCGAGCTCCAATGGGGAGGTTTAAGGAAAACGAGAGGTCGAAGTAAATTGAGAGGTCCGAGCCCCAAGCGAACGGTTTAAGTAAATCGAGAGATGGAGCCCCAAGCGGGAGGTTTAAGTAAATTGAGAGGCTGAGCCCCAAGCGGGATAAGTAAATTGAGAGGTTGCGAGCCTCGGGCGAGGTTTAAGTAAATTGAAGGCCCCAAGCGGGGCCTGAGCGAAAGCTGAGCCAGAAGTGCGTTTCGAATCGCAAGCAAAAACAAGATTGGACTAGACAGGATGGTGTTTTCTGGTAGTCGATTGTCGAGTCCTCACTTTTCAGCGCCACGGAACCGATTTTATGATATTTTGGGCTCGATCTTTTAGTCTGCGACTGTCACGTCTTTACATACATGTGCGATCGGCTGCAGCTTGTTTTTGCATCGGAACTAGCATCCTTTTTCGTCCTCGTCTCGTCCTCGGAAGTCGGTTCCCTCGGTTTTTTTTCATGCTTGATCGCTTCAGGTCGACATGGCAGGCTACCCGGGCCGCGGTCTGAGTATTTGCCTTAGCTGTGAGCTCGTGTTTTTCCTTTTTTTTCCGCGCGAGATCCGCTCTACTTCTTCCCTTCCACCACTACTCCCGACGAGCCTCGGTTCAAGTCTTTGCCTCGGTCCTGATCGTGCTTCACGTTCGAATCCCGGCTTTAACTGCTACTCAGGTGCCCGGCGTGGTGGTCCAGGGAGTGCGCGGAGGAGGCTAGGGAACGACGCAAGCCGACGACGGAATAAGCTTGTGCGAGCAGGTTCATCGTCGCGAGCTGGCCCTGCTACTGCTACAGCATGTGGGAGAAGGCCAGTTCGGTAATGAATTTAATACGTCATCCACCACATTGCCAGGAGACACGATCTACCAACTCTACGAGACGGCCGGAACAAGTGCAGTTCTCAATCATGGATTTTTATGTTTCTGACCTGAGGCCCTGAACAACTATCCTACCACCTCCGGGGACCCATTCATCCATGGCATGGAACTCGTCATAGAGTTCCGGCTAAGGCCAGCAAGTCGGTAAACGTTTCATTCAGTAATTTTCTTTCCTTCGCAGGCAGATGGAATACTGGGCCCCGGTCGTGGCGGTTACGGTGCTAGGGCCTTGGTCGTAGGACCTCCGGCTCGGTATTTCGTGCGAGTCTTCGTTCGCGCAGGCAGTATCTGTCCAAGGGAGGACCCATAACCCACCTTACTAACCCTACTTACTAAATCAACAGGGCCTCCAAGTAAACCCTATAGATCCCTTAAAGGGACCCTTAAAGAGAGGAGCCCATGGTCCTAAACCCTAACCCTTGAAACTCTACCCTATGCCCTCTATTCAGGGCCATAAAGACGGTCTTAGGAGAGCGCTGCCTGCGCGAGACGAACTTGCAGAGTTCGGAGGGTTTAGGTTTCTGAGCAATTGGGAGAACTTGAGGTTTCTTGGGCCGTGTATATATATATATATGTATGTGTGTATATATATATATATTCACTCACACACATAGATAGATAGATAGATAGATAGAGTCTGTCTGTCTCAGAAAGCTTGAAGTTTAGGGTTAAGGTATAAAAGTTCAGGGTTTTAGAGGTCGAGGGTTTTAGGGTTCGGATTGGGTTCAGTGTTTGGGTGATAGGGTGCAGAGGTTTAGGGTTTAGGTTTCGGATTAGGGTTGGGGTCTGACTGTGGCATGTTAGGGTAGTATAAGTACTTGAGTGTAGAGTGATGGTTTGGGGTGCTGGTGTTTTCCAGGCAGGTGCGCTGCTCAGGATTTAGGCGTGCACGGTTTAGGGATTTATGGTTTGTTGTGTTGTTTTTGCAGATGTGCCCCTCGCAAAGAATTTACGGCTTTGTCGGCATGCCTTGAGGATGCATGAACTCCCCTCATTGACCACCACCTCTGTGAGAGTCCTCGAGAAAAATTGGCTATGACCAAACAACGCCAAACTGTGTACGAATAGGCCCTAAGTCCTTCTAAGCCTTAACCTCAAACCCTCAAACGTACCAGCTCCCAAACCCGAAACTCCATACCCTCGACCGTACCCAACACCCTAAACCCATAACACTCTATTCCTGACGCCTTAATTATAAGCCCGAAAAGCCATAGCCCTAAACCCTCAACCCTCAATGCCGAATCTTGCCTAGGCCACACTGCCTCACGTCCCGTCGCGCGGGCGCCTTTGCCGTGACTCTGGCGACGGCATCGAGCATGCGGAGGTTGCGGTTCGGGTTTAGGGTTTGGGGGTTGATGGCTTAGGGCTTAGGGTCAGGGTTTTGGGGTTTAGGGTTTTGTTCTTCCAAATCGTCCCAGACTTTGTTTGGAAGGTCGACGCATCGGCTGCCAATGCGGCGCAAGTTTCCGCAGAGAGCGAGAGCAAATTTGGACCCCAACCGCAAGCTGTTTCATGCAAACCAGGATATCGTTAGTCAAAACATTCGGCAACGTAGGAACCTGATTAAGAAACCCTGGTCCTAAAACCGCAAAATACCCAGACCTTCCAAAATCCCTTAATTAAGGAATATACCTCAAACCATATTAGGGATCCTATTATGAATTAAGGTATATTCCTCAATTAAGGGATTTCGGAAGGTCTGGGTAGTGGGATTCAGATAAGGAACCCTAAAAAAGGCCCAAGGTTTCCTCATCAGGCTCCTACATTACCCAGGACAAGCCCGTCGAGCCTCATGGTCCTACCTGAAGGACTGAAGGACCAAATGACCCTAAGGATAGGGGTATTTCGAAATAGTTTTTATTTGTTGGTTCCTATAATCCCTAAGGAACAGCTATTTTTTGGTTTGGGGTTTTAGTTCTAAGTTCAGTATCGTAAGGATAAGGATCCACTACTCCGATACTTGTACTTGTACTCGCAAGCCTTGTTACGGCAAGTATAACCGTGAGCCTTTTTAGGATACGGTTCGTCCCTAAGGTCCGGAAATAGGCTGGGAGTAGGTGAGGTCCATTGGCAGGTAGTTTTCATGTACAGCATGTACAGCAACCCCTGTAATGAGCTACTTGCCCATTAGAGCCTACGCCCCAAATCCCGAACGCCACGACCTCAACCCCGAAACCATCAGCTGCATAGCATCCCTCATGACATCGCGTCCATGAACCACCCTGCGTGTGAACCACCAAACGACCTCTAAAATCCCGACAAACCCACCTTACAACTGCAAGACATCTATGTAATAGAGGGGCCTCAATAATTGGAATAGCGTTTTGGGGTCCACTATACTATAGCTATAATAAGGAATTCCTAAAATAGTATTGATGATTATTTAGGCCCCTATAGTACGTCAACCGAATCATCCAAGTAACTGGCAGGGGTCGGCGCTGCAAGCTGACCGCGACCGGAGAAGCCACTGGTGCTGTGCAGGAGGCCAGGACAGCAGCCAAAGGGCTTGAAGTTGTGATTTCGAAACTCCTGAAACTGTGCGAAACTGGTGCATCTTGTTTGTAGTTTCTTCTAGCATTAGACAGACAGGACAGTTGGAGCGGATCCGACCCCGATACCCAGGACTAGCAGCCATCGCTATTCAGAACCCTGGGCGTTCCGCCACGGAACGCGATAACCCTAAATCCTGTATCCAGACCAATACCCGTTCATCCTCTCAAACTACAAGAACTCATAGGCATACTTGTCTCGGTTGTCCTGGTAGACTCAAGCCCACTAAAGCTTTAGCGTCGTAGGGTCCAGGGTTCATTTTCCTTACATGGGTGGTTGTCAAAATTATGGTCCCTTTTTGAGTACCCTAAAGATTTGGTGCCGTATTAAAAGAAGGACCCAAAAAGGGACCCTAATATTGACAGCCACCCACATGATTCCTTCAAGGGTTACTGACCTGTTTTCTTGTAGGGGGTCTTACAAGAGGGCTCAGGGCTCAGGGTTGGCCATGCTCATCATAAAGGATCATGGGACTTAGTAAGTGGGGTTCTAAATAAGGAAACTATGCTTATGAGTACTTATAACCCCCAATCACGGCACTTATAACCCTACTTATATACTAAGTCCCATGATCCTCCAGGCATGGTTTTGGGACCTTACCCCAAGGGTCCAAAGGACCCAATCTTAAGGTACTTGGGTTTAGGATAGTAGTTCTGTAGGTTCATATTCGCGAGAGTATATGATTATCAGCTAGGTACGGCCCCCACTCAGTAATAGTTGAATAATATCCATAATATAGATATAGTAGGACCCTAATAGTAGCCCTATTATAGACACTTACTGTATGGGGGCCGTACCTAAATTATCACGTACTTGGACCCTTGGGGTTACTCTAAGGCTCCAAAGTATTTCCTTTCTGGGGGTTCATATATAGATCCCTATAAGGCAGTCCCTCCCAAAAAGGAACTACTATGGAGCCTCAGGGGTTAACTCCAGATTTTAGTATAAAATGGAGCCCGATGGGTGCTGGACCAGTAACCCCCCCAAACCTTCCAAACTACCTTCATTAAGGAATATATACCTGAATTCATACTATAAGAATCCTATTGTATATTAAGGTATATTCCTTAATTAAGGAATATACCTGAATTCATATTATAGGGATCCTATTGTATTTTTAAGGTATATTCCTTAATTCAGGGATTTTGGAAGGTCTGGGCCCTGCCCCAAGGCTGTGGTGGTCGGCGCAGGCCCCGCTGGCTTAGCAGCGGCATTGATGCTGTCGCAAAGGGGCTGGAAGGTGAAGGCGCCGTGGGTTTGTGGGGTTTGGGTTTAGGGTTGAGGGTTGAGGGTTGAGGGTTTAGGGTTTAGGGTTTAGGGGTTTGAGGGTTTAAGGGTTTAGGGGTTTGAGGGTTTAGGGTTTAGGGTTTAGTGGTTTAGGGGTTAAGGGTTTAGGGTTGAGGGTTGAGGGTTCAGGGGTTTAGGGTTTAGGTTAGGGGTTTAGGGCTTAGGGTTTGGGGGTTTAGGGTTTACCTATAGTCTGCATTGTAGTTCCTTTTTGGGGTTACCTTTTAGGATCCTTTATATAAAATTGGTTAAACCAAAAAAAGGAACTACAATGGAGACTATAGGTAGGGTTTATGGTTGCGGGTTGCGGGTCGGAGGCCGGCTTGGGTCTTGCAGCTAAGGGTTGGGATACAGCTAGCATCAACGTTGTTTTTGGGGGAAGGGGGGGGAGGGGGTACAGGTGTACGAGTTGTTGCTTAAGGTCAGTATATATTCTAAGCAGTAAGAGTCCTTATGGGAGAGGGTTTTTAGGCTTCTTGTATATGGTTGCCATGGACTACCTGAAGCCCAAAACCCTAAAAAATGATGGTTATGACCCCGCCATGACCTATTTGGAGCCAAGGTGAGGCCCTAAAGCCTAAACCCTTAGCCCTAAGCCTAAATCCCAAAACAAACGAAGTCCCAAAGCCTTGCAGCCCCAAACCACAGCTAACCCTGCTTTGAGGGTCATGGGACTTAGTAAGTAAGGTTCCCTTTAGGGCTCCTTAAAGGGATCACTAGGGTTCCTTAAACGGATGTATAGGGTTTAGGGTTTAGGGTCTACTTGATCAATGCACATAGCAAGTAAGGTTATAAGTGCTTTAATTGGGGTTATAAGTAATTGTAGCAGAATTAATCTAAGTATAACCCTACTTAATAAATCCCGTGATCCTCCAAGCAAAGCCTGCGCAAAAGCTGACCTTCAAACCCTCTTCAGTTATATAGCACTGTAAACTCTATTCTTAATCCCTAAACACTGAGTTCGAGACTTTACTCCACCCTGACTTGCCACGAGTAACCATAGCCAGGCACTATTCTATTCACTTGCAAAAATCAATCACAGTCAATAAATATGTTTTGCATCCCTTCGCCCGAATCGTGCTTCAATCTAGCACTGTCGACACGTCACGGCCTCACGCATGGAGTGCAGCAACCAAAGCGCTACAAGTGCACACACCAACAAGCATAATGAAGCCCTACACCGAAGACTTAAACACCTACACAGCCCAAACACAAAAACCGCCTTTTTCGATAACGCAGATCCTGCATAAATTGGCGGCATGGGGTTTAGGGGTAAGGGTTCAGGATTTCGAGTTGTGCGTCCCAAACCGTAGCAAAGGCTGCAGGAATCTCTCTGCAAGGAGCAGTTTATAGTATATCATAATGCTGCAGTGTGCTGTGGGTTTCCACCACTGCAGAGCAACGCCTTGCCCATTAGGCTACTGGGTCCTCGACTCTGGTAGTTGTCGGATCACATTGACATTACGATTCGAAATTGAAACGACAATGACAGCTGTGGGGGCGCAACCAACCATTATGCCACAAGCTGACTTCCGCCTGTCTCTTTACAGGGGCCTCTTGCTTGACCCATGCTTGGAACAAGCAAAAAATATGCACGCGCAAACGTTTGTGTGTCCCTACTCCGACGGTTGTCACCTTCTAGCAGAGGAGACAGCGGTGGTTGCCAGGTGCTGTGTTGAGACATGCGGCTGATGAGCTGGGCTGGTTTTCGGAGTGCAAGGAGATCTGTGAGACACAGCAAACTATTGAGGAACAAATAACAACAAAGGGAACCCAAACCCACAGAAACGACCCAGGGTGGACTCTATTATCATGTCACAGATTGTTTTATTGTATTTCCACGGGCTCTTAGAGTATATTGTTCTGGTATATTAGTGTCATCTACAAGAATAGAGTACTATAATCACGTTGTTTTGCGGTAGCATACGATACCCTAAGAGGCCCAAAGTATATACTATTTGGGTATATGAACGCTTATACCCCGAACCCGTATAGAACCCTTATAGATCCCCTGAAAGGAACCCTAAGGGTCCAAGTACCTAATAATCATATACTCTCCAAAAGTCTAACCTACATAACTACTATCCTAATACCGAGTACCTAATTATTGGGTTCTTTGGCCCCTTACTTAAAGGATCATGGGACTTAGTAAGTGGGGTTATAAATATGGTAGCTATACATATAAGTACTTATATCCCCAATTAAGGCACTTATAGTCCTACTTACTAAGGCCCATGATCCTCCAAGTAGGGGAACCCTTAAAGGAAGCCCCTGCTCTATGGTCTAAACCCAGACCCCGGGGAGGATCCAAAAACTAGATCCCTTAAAGGGGTTCCTATAAAGTGCCCTTCAGTAGCTAGGGTCCCAAATTAGGGGATCTACTTTTTTAGATCCTCCCGGGGGTCTGGGAAGCAGGTGCTTGAGAAGACAGAGGATCCTGCGAGCTACGACCCAGGTGGGTGGTTGTCAAAATTAGTTAGGGTTTAGGGTTTAGTGTTTAGGGATGAGGGTTTAGTGTTAGGGTTTATAGTGTTTAGGGTTTAGGGATTAGGGTTTAGGGAATAGGGTTTAGGGTTTAGGGTCCCTTCTTGGGCACACTGATTTGCTGCAAAATGAACTTTTCAATTTTTGGGGATCTTATAAGATGGTCGATTCTGAAAGTTTCAACTTTTATTTCCTTGGGGTTTGGGCCAGTGAGTACACTAAGTAATAGGTGCCGTATTATAATAGGGACCCCCAAAAGTTAAAAGGGGCCACAATTTTGACAACCACAGAGGTGTGACCCTTTGGGCGTCGGGTTTAGGGGTTGAGGTTTAGGGGTTTAGGGGTTGAGGGCATAGAGTTTCGATTTCAGAGTTTAGGAGTTTAGGGTCTAGGGGTTTGGGGCTAAGGGTTTTGGGGTTTTCGGGCTTAGCCCTTAAGCATACACCCTCAACTCCGATTCCGAAGCCTTGACGTAAACGAAGCATCAGGTTTCCTGACGATTTAAGCATTCACGGCTGCTCCTGTATGCCCTAACCCACAGACTCTTAAAGTCAGGGTTCAGGGTATGCTGAGGAGGATTTGTGTTCTTTCTTTTCGTACCCAGTGGTTTTCGGGTTTTGACTTAGCAGCTTGTTTAGTTTGCCGTTTGGCACAATTTGGCGCGTGGTTTCTGTGGAATAAGAAAGGAATGTTGGGTCCCATGTACTGTAACCTACGTAGAGGTTGGGTTTTGGGTTAGTTTTTGGATGGTCTGTCATTCTGTCTTGATTATGACTTAAGCATCCGGTTTCGGAGCCTGGTCATCTGATCGTGAGTACATGGATGAGAATGTAGACTCGCTGCGAGCATCTTTGCACAGCACTGGGGAAGTGCGACATGTTGAACATTGAGATTCCTTGCGAGCGCCCTGGAGGCCACAGGAAGGGCAAAGTGGAGCCCATGGAAATGCCGATGAAGAAAGCCAAGGTCCCGAGCAACGCCCCATACGCTTCGGCAGCATGCAGTGTCAGAAAGGGCACGCCCGCCCAGCCGAATCCGGCTGCTGCGGTGTATGAGGACACAGACGACAACAAGCGTGACATTAAGAGAGAGATGCGCAAGTACATTTTCTTCGAGAGTCAGGCGAGAAACCGATTCCTGAGCCGGGAGCATGCCGAGTAGACGTAGCCCGACAGCTGGACTCGCGTGCGTGTCGCTACTGTATCAGCTCTAAAGAGCATACCTTCAATCCTTGACCCGGTGCCTCAGGGGCTGTTCAGCAAGAGCCACGGTTTTAAAGTTCGCTATCGGACTAGGTTAAGCGCATCTAGATGCGCGGTATGGCCACACTGCCAGCTTGATGTTAGCCAGCCCTACGGAAGCCCTGATGAAGGCAACACTACATAACACTACCAGAATCCTAGGATGCCCAGTACGTAGTACCCTTACTCCCTTTTTGTAGTCCTAGGTTCCTTATAAAGTTACCCAATACCAAAAAGGTAGCCCGTTTTATTCCTAGGTTGCTGGGCATCCTAGAAGCCCTTAAAGCCCTGACCCTACATTATAGAACACTACTATAGATCCCTTATAGAACCCTTTAAGGAACCCTATTCTAATGGTTGTTTCCTAGGATTAAGGTCGAGCCTGGCGCCCTAACAAAAGTCAACATTGAGCTTGAATACAACCGTTACCTATCGGAAGGTTCACGGGTTAAGATAGGGCCCCAAGGTTTGGGTCTTTGGGCTTATGGTTTAGGATTTAGTAGTTTAGGATTTAGGGTTAAGGGTGTATTTTGCTCTACTTCCCCAGTGGTTAACTGTTCCCTGAGCATTATATGCCTTTATTATCGCAGCCACAATCAGTTGCCTACTGCTTGGTTTGAAGGCAAAGGCTTCATGTACCTGATCGATGGCCGCGGGCAGAAGTGCTTGCAAGAGCTGAGCCTCGTTCCAATTTTCCAAGTTTGTTGGTCACAACAAAAAACGAGTTTTCATTTGCAGGGATAAAGTCTTTCAATATTCAAACTAGACTGATAAGTATTTCGTCCCTCAATCAGTCCGACGCTCACGGCCGGGTTTCTGCTCCCAGCAGCAGTACTACGGTGTCAGGAGTTGTATCAGGCTTAGGATCAAGTGATTGTAAAAATGCATCTAGGGATTGCAAGGGGGTACCATTTCGGAGCATACTCCATAGGGTGTTCGCCTGAAGGGATCCGTCTGGCAGAGTAGCAGCAGGGCGTGTATACAGCCGTCAGTAGGGTTTAGAGTCAAGGAATTAGTTTAGGGTTGAAAATGTGTACTTCGGGCCAAAGAATGCCAGGTGTGGTTTGGCCAGCGGCCCTTTTTTTGTTTGGGGGGACCCTTAAGCACCGAATACTAGAAGACACATGCGCTGTGTTCTTTAAAGGGGCTGCTGGCAATCCAGGCCGAATAAACTCTACGCATTAAGTGCCGCAAACTTCCCTAAACCCAAAAAGCCCAAATAACAAAAACTATTAATTAGCTTGACACCACAAACTTCCCTTAACCCGACAAGCCCTATAACCCCTTAGTAATTCGCTTGCGCTCCCGGTAGGGACCGAAAAGCCTTGTTACATGCGCGCGGAATGCTCATTGCCACATCCCGAGCAGCCCTACCAGTGGATCCAACAGACTATCCCTAAGGGTCCAAAGGACCCAGTGATTAGGTAATTACTCGGTTTCAGGATAGTAATAGTAGTTACGTAGGTTAGATTTTCGGGGAGTATGTGATTATTAGGTACTTGGACCCTCAGGCCCCGTAGTTTTGGGGCCATAGCTTCCTACTTAAACCCCCAAACCCTGAACTCAAACCCGACCAAACATGCTCCGAGCTGCGACGGAACATAAACATCAACTGCAATAGCAAAGCGAGCAAACCTGCATTAAACATGGCAGCGCCCCAAAACTCAAGCTGCATAGAAATGAACTAAAGCCTTAATCCCTTCCAGGGCTCCGCAAATTTCTCTTCAACTCCGTTTTGGCATCCCTGTATATCCTAAGCCTTGAACCCGCGTAGCAACAATCACACATACGGAATCAGCTCCTCATCTACTTCTGAATGCACGCCCACTATCGGCCCAGCCGCCTTCTACACAGAGCCGCGGGGCGAACAACAAGACGAGAGGAAGATGAAGACGCCACGGAGAAGCGAGATATCACGCTGCACACATCGCGATTGCCAATGACATGGGCGAAGCGTCAGCTGACTTTGAACAACATCCAGAAGTCGCTCAAGCTCTCCATCGGCAAACATGGTGATTGGAACGCGGCTGCCTGCAAGCAGACAGTGAGGATGCTGTCACGGCCCAAACGCGGTAGTAAAGCACCGGCAGCCATCATGGACGATTGGCTGGACACGCCCCTACAGAAACCTTCAACCCTAAACCGTTAAGCAGCCCATATAAGCCCTGAAGCTAAAACGCGGTTTCGAGCATTGCCCCGTGCAAACCCAGAAGTCGCCGTGTGATACTGTGGATGATATAAGTCCTGCACTACCTCTAGGACCTACTTGGAGGCCCTTTTGACTTAGTAAGTAGGGTTAGTAAGGTGGGTTATGGGGATTATAATAGGGTTTCTAGGGGATACTAAGTAGACTTACTAAGTCAAAAGGGCCTCCAAGTAGAGTAGGCCCTTATTCCCTTTTTCAGGGTTTTGGTTGCCTTATAACACCCTTTAGACCAAAAAGGGCACCCTTTTTATGCCTAGGTTACTCTTGGGGTCTAGAGATTAAGGACCCTAAACTATGGGAATTATGGTATATTCCTTGTTATGAGTAATGCAGGATTTATATCATCAACCGTAGGATTCAGGGTCCTTCAAGGGTTCTCTAAGGGGCCTTTAAGGGTTCCTTCTTCTAGTGTTTCGCTGGATTCGCTATGGGCTTAGAACTATGAGCTTTAAACTTTAGGGCTTACCAGCACCCCTCAAGTACCCCAAAACGGAGCCCTTATGGTCCGTAATAGAGGGTATTTAGGGTATAATAGAGAGTAGTTGGGTGGTGCTGGTAGAGGTTTGAGGTACAGTTTAGGGTTGCGAGCGGGCGCAAGCTGGGCAAGAGGAAGAAGGGAGCCTTGCTTTCGTTCCAGCAGGTTGCATTAGGGTTTAGGGTTTAGGGTTTAGGGCTTTCGTTTCAGCAGGTTGCATGGAAAGTAGTACAGGGGCCTAAGTAATGACCAATACTACCTTGAAAGGGATCCTTCAGCATTCCTTTAAGGGATCTAAAAGGATCAAAAGGGTTAGGATAGGGGCCGAAATAACTACCAATACTCTTTCTGGGTTTCCTTATTATAGTCATAGCAAAATTATGGTCCCTTTTTTGGGTTCCTATTATAGTACGGCACCTATTATTTAGGGTACCCAATTAGGGACCCTAATTTTGACAACTACCCATATAGCTCGAACTACGTATTGATTGTAGACTGGCAGTTTTCGGGAATAGGTATATAAATGGGTATCTCAACAATCGGCCCTAAGGTCCTTGGTTGTTTTGATGTGTGCCTGCAATCTACGCCGTGCGACCCTAAAACGCACCACCGAAATGCAAAGCCCGGGAGATTAGCAATATTATCCCGGATAATTCCTCTGTGACATAAGTGATTACATATATCATATATACTACCATTATGGAATTATAGGTCCCAAAAGACCATTCATATCATGGTGTATGTGGAGCCTCTGGGCACCTAAACCCCCGGAACCGTTAAAGGAGACCCTAAACGACCGAAGGACCGTGAAGGAAGCCTTACAAGGGAGCCCTCCTTAAAGGAGCCCTCAAAGGAAGGCTGTTTAGGGTTTAGGATTTACCCAGAGGCTCCATAGTAGTTCCTTTTTGGGGATTGCCTTATAGGATTCTATGTATGAACACCAAAAAGGGGCTACTTAGGAGCCTCAGGGTTAGGGGACCGTGCCGTGCAGCCCCAACACTCCAAGGGTAAAAGGAGGGACCCTTAATGAGGACCCCCGGGTATATACCCTTAATCTTAGGGGAACTTAGAAATAGGTTTTAATTTTTGGTTATTATAATTCCTAATTCCTAAGAAACAGCTAAAAATATTACTTTTGCTAGGGTGTATAGTAACATAGCTATTATATACCCTTAATATAGCTATTGTATACCCTTAATATATGCCATTATATACCCTTAATATAGCTATTATATACCCGTTCTATAGCCCATTATCGGGTAGGGGTCCCCATTAAGGGTCCCTCCTTTTCCCCTTTGGAACACCCAGCCACGCAAGGAACCCGGAGCTCTTCACGAAGTTGGTGGAGTCCTCCGTAGGCTGCCTTAGGGCTCCTTTGGAGTCTATGGTTTATAGACTGAGGGGTTGGGACAATTAAGGGTCTATGCTTAGGGTCTGGGCTAAAGGTATGGAGTTTTTGGTTTAGGGTTTACCTTAACCCTGAAAAGCCTACCTTTTTAGGGTTCCTTGTTATGATTTCTTCATATAAGTCCTTGAAAAGGTAGGTCTTTCCGGGTTTGAGGTAGGGTTTAGGGATTGTCTTGTGGATTTTTGGATGGTTTTCTGAAGGCTAAATAGGACTTCAATGAGTTTTTAAATAGCTGTCTGAAGGTTCTATAAGACTTCAAAGGGTGTTACAGGTGCTTATACACATGTTTTATGCGAGGTTTGTGGTTGTCAGGGTTGGAATACGTTTTGATGCAGGGCTCCGGGATTTTATTCTGGAGCCTGGCACTCCCCCCAAGCTTGTTGAATAGTAGGGGTGAAGGCTGCAATGGAGGGCAGCTGGGGGATTCTACTTCATACCGGAACTTGTTCAGAGACCCTTGCTTATAATCGACCCCAGTAGTATTAGGATCCATCAAGAGATCACGACCACAGCTTTCTTTATCAGCTTTCTATACTAGGGCCAATCGTTTTAGGTGTTGATGGCATGCGCAGTTCTACTTGTAGTATCATAATGTATTCCAGAGTTGAAATTGCGCCGAGAAGAGTCAAAACTCGAAGCCGGGGTACACGATCAGAATTTCTAGACTTCAAGGTTTAACGTTGTCAATCATCGGGTTCCGGGCCTCTTCAGGATGTCCAGCTGCTCTTACCAATTTCCTGGTGCATGCTCTGCGTGCACAACGATTATGGGACTTGGTAAGTAAGGCTATAAATACAATAACTATACTTATGAATACTTATAACCCCAAATATGGTCCCCAAGCCTCCATGTACCCATTTAGTATATACTTAGGCCTTAGAGTACCTATATAGGAACCCTTTAAGGCTTAAGTATCTACTATAAGGGTGCATGGTGAAGCCAACACTTTTCTACACCCAAGGCTCTGCAATTCGACACTCTACGGCAAGGTTCACTGTCGCACTGTAAGAATTGCATAATGTCCTATAGTCCCCCCAAGAAGTAAGTCCCGCACCGCTGAACCCATCAAGGGGACCCTTTTTCCAAAGCCATCAAAGCAAAACTCAGTAGGCATGGCGGATGCGAAAATCGGTGTGCTCACGCCGAAGGGCCTCACAGAGCGCGTGAATCCCATCAAGGCCCGCCCTCAAGGGCGAAATGTACGTACGTTCAAGCACCACATCGGATTTGATGGCATCAGTGTACATGAACCCTTACTTTCAGGTTATTTGGTCTTGCAGGGCTCGGGGCTCTTGCTTGCTCCTATTTGAAACCGAAGGTTTATGATTCTGCTTTGCGGAAGGCGCTGAAGCAGTCGTACATACCCAGAGGCTCCATGGTAGTTCCTTTTTGGGATTACCTTATAGGGTTCTATATATGAACCCCCAAAAGGAACTACTTTGAAGCCTCAGTGTAGTTTGTCGTTCTCAAAAAAAGGCTGCATCGTGGGATCGAGCCCTTCGCAAGTCCTGCTGGACACCTGTTTTTGTACAAGACCCATATACAACCCTAAACCCTAGACTAGCCTAAACCCTAAACCCCAGAACCCTATACCCTTATACCCTATAACTTCTAAACCCCTAATCCCCTAAATCCAAAATCCCTTAAACCAATTTCTGGCAGGATGCCGCTCGCAAGTCTTACTGGATACCGCGGCACGCCTTCGTTGGCCTTCTCCTCGTGGCTGGGCTTCAGTTTAGGGTTTAGGGCCCCCCAAGTACCCTAAAATAGAGCCCTTATGGCCCTTACTAGTGGGTATTTGGCGTATAATAGAGGGTAGTTGGGCGGATGCTGGTAGGTTTTAGGGTTTGAGGTTGTGTTGTGTAGGGTTTATAGGGTTTATCGACGGTGTCGGGGTGCTTGTCATAGTACGCTTCTACTGCCTCGGGCACCCTTTTAAGACCATGCAAAAGATCGAAGCACTTTCCAGTGCTGAAGCCTGAATCACACGACACGCGCCTGCAAGCGGTAACGCCTCATCTTAAGTCCTGAACATAAACTTTGAGTTCTGCTCCTTGCAACCTTGACCATCTAACCTCCACAATCCCCCAAATCCGTAAACTGCAAACCTCTCGAGGTAAAACCCCAACCCTGAGCCCCGGAATTCAGTGTCCAGCACCTATCTTACCGGTCAGGGGCATTATCCCCAACAGGCTTTACACCCTAAACTAAGAGGCAACTGCAACAAACGAATTACTATTTCAGGTGTTGGACTCTTAAGGTTGCGGTTGGCAGATTTATGTTAGTGGTTCAGTGTATGAACGTCAGACGTTCGATGGAATATGCATGAATACTTCCCTAAATGTTTAAAACAGCTTCCGATTTATGTATGTAAAGTTGTGTGTTTATGTTGTTATTCATATATGTATATATATATATATATGTATGTATGTGCACATACAAATGTATATGTACTTGCATGTGTTATTTTTGCAGCTGGTTTTTCTTGGGGCGGCTACGTCACTCCCATAGGACTCACCATTCGGGGTTTCGGGCTTCAGGGCCTTGTGATATTTGAAGATTGGTAAGTCTAGTAGGTGGACCCTGAGCGGGCTGTCTGAGGTGTGGCTACAGGGTTCAAGGATCATGTTTAGTCCTTCCCAGTGTGTAACAGCACTCGATTCACACACTGCCCCTTTTTGGAGGGCCTTAGATCCAAGTCTCGGTGCTTCAATTGCGAAGCGTGATACTGTAGTAGCCTGTGGCAATTCGGTGTGTTTTGTAGTTTCCCACCGGAATTCTGGCGTGGTATCTCTTCCAGGGACCCGTAGAGCCCCACCCGTAGTCTGCATTGCAGTTCCTTGTTAAGGTTACCTTATAGGATCTAAATACAAGGGTGGCTAAACCGAAAAAGTAACCACAATCGAGACTGCAGGAAAAATACAATGAGGACAGGGTTGTGCCGCTATTTCGAGTTTGGTGCCGGCAAAAGTCGTGGTCCTGTCATGTTACAGCCCTCCGACCAAGTTCAAGGCCTGATCCCAACCAGTTGGAATAAAGCTTAGATCCTACCTGAGACTCAATGCTAACGAAAGCTCAGTTCAAAGTGTAAGTAGAGTTATAACTTACGTAGCTCACTGCCGGTTTGGCTCTTGAAGCAGTATGAGCCTCCATGAGCCCGAGAACACCCTGTGCAAGACTCTGCTTGAAACTTCCTTCGGCCCTTTCAAGCAACTCTAAACCCTAAACCCCAAAATCATACGCCCAGAGCAACCCGGAACCGAGCTAATGCCTTTCAGGAAGAAGCGAAAAAGAAGGAGAACATCAGCAGCCGGCCTGATGTTGGAGGGATGTGACGGCTACTGTTGCCCTAAACCCGAAAGCTACTTCGAGGCTTATTTATGCAGTATACAGGTGCACGTGCCTCTGGGGTTACGACGCAGGCCCAAACTGTACGCCCGACCTCAGCAGGAAATAAAACACCAACCTCGGTTTCGACAAGGCACATGGTAATACAAGGGCCTCAAGACTTACCTATACTATTTTGGGGGTTCCTTACGATAATGCTAGTACAATCAGCCCCAAAACCCTATTACAATTACTAAGCCACCCTACATTAGTTTCTCGTCGTTGTCTCACGTGTCCGGTTTCTGATTCTCGGCCGAGGCAAAGGCTAACTTTCCGTGACCGTACAGCGAGTAAACTACTACCACGGCCCAAACAAGCACAAATTACCACAATTTCCCTACTCGCCTATCAAGTTTCCGTCACTTTTTTTAATGTAAGGCTTCAAGTGGCCAGATTTAAGTCCGGATTTAGGTTTCGCCAAGGTCGAATGCATTGATGCCTGGGCACCTGGACCCTGGGTCTCAAAACTGAGACCCCCTAAACTTGTCAATACGACCTTCATACTCGAGAGGCATACTGCTACGTTGCATATCCTTTTGTTATGTTTTCTGGTACGAGCTTTTGCTCCAACTGAGCGATCAGATCAGACAGACTATTTCCGGAAATCAAGCCTGGTATATACCTAACTCCTGTGGCTTCTGCTGTCTACAACGCGTAGGGCCCTGAACAAACCCAACTCTGAATCCCTACATGCCACCGAGCATTCATGAATGACTCTAATTGCGCTCCAATCAGCAAGGGCCTCATCGACCTATTTCGTAGATAATGTAGGAACCTGATTAAGAAACCCTGGGCCTATAACCCCAAAATACTTGTAGCAGGATTCATATATAAGGAAACGTAACAAAGGCCCAAGGTTTCTTGATCAGGTTCCTACATTAGATCAGTTTCAGGCTAGAGGGTCGTTGTCGGGCGTAGCTTGGGTTCAGAGAGTACCCTGCGGGTCCCAGGTATCTCCTTCGGAGGGTCCAGGAACCTGCGAGCTAAGGATCTCAGAAGTTCAGGACCTTCAGTAAATCCCTAAACCCTAATCCCTTAAGTAATGAACCGAAAGCCCTTGACTCTAAACCCTATACCTAGAGGCTCATACCCTACCCCTTTTCTAGGGTACCTAGTTTTATGGTTAGGTTCTCTTATATAAAAAAGTAGGTACCTAAAAAAAGGGGGGAGGGCATGACCCTATAGGTAAGCCCTCAGTGGCAGGATTGGTGCTGAACTTGAGGTCCCTTACGGGGGGTACTTGGAGGCCCTTTTGACTTAGTAAGTCTACTTAGTATCCCCCAGAAACCCCATTATAATCCCCATAACCCACCTTACTAACCCTACTTACTAAGTCAACAGGGCCTCCAAGTAAGGGTCCAACTATTTCTGGAAGCATGACTTAGCTTGAGGTCTGTCGGTGGAGGTGGAGATCGACGATATCGTCTTTGACGGGCAGTTCCATGCGACTGGTCCCCTACAAGTTGCGTTTGAGATTTATGGGGGTTTTGAGATTTATAGGGTTTTTCTGAAGGTTGTAGGGTTTTTGAGATTTATAGGGTTTGAGGTTTCAGGTTTTGTTTGAGACGTATAGGGTTTCAGGTTGTGTTTGAAACTTAGGGTTTGCGGTTTGAGGTTTGGAGGCAAAAGTGGGTCATGTTGTAGGGTTGGGGTGTAAGGTGCAGAAGTGACAGACCCAGGCCTTCCAATATTTCTGAACATATCTAATTTGCATCGCATGAGGGATCCTACTTATTGTGAGGTATGTTCCTTAATAGAGGGATCCTGGAAGGTTTTGGCTTCCCCGGGACCTCGGCCCTGAGTCCTTTTTTTGCACGCTCCGATACTTTGACAGGACAGTTAGACAAATCCTCGGGTTTAGGGTTTAGGGTCTTACGGTTTAGGGTTTAGGGGACAGTAAGACAAACGCTAAACCCAGAGCATTCCTACGGCTCACTTCCTGTCCCTCTAACCTGGATTTCTCCACGCCCTGACAGATTCACGCACATACGATTGATGTGTGTGTGTGTATGCTTGTAATGCTGTTGGTATGTAGACACGTATACACGTAGTTCCATCTCAATTCGTGCAGCGGCGGGCGAATCACATGTCGTGGGCATAGATCCTAAATCCCTAAACCCTTAGACCCCTAAACCCTAAAATCCCTAAACCCCTAGACCCCTGAACCCGTCCATCCGTGGACCCTTAAACCTTAAAACCTCAAACCCCCAAACCTCAAAAATCCCTCAAACCCTTAAACCCCCAAACCCCAAAACCCTAAACCCCTAAACCTCTAAACCCCTAAACCCCTAAACCCCCCAAACCCCCAAACCCCCCAAAGGCCCGGCCCCCCCCAAAGGCCCCCCCCCCAAACCCCTAAACCCTTGGGGTTGCAGCCTCAGAGCCCCGAGGTGAAGGGCACATCTTCGGATGCTCCCTTGGAGGGCCTGGCGGGTGCCCGGCTTTCACGTTTTCAGGCTTTAGGGTTAGGGGATAAGTTCAAGATGATATATATATATATATATATATATAGATGTGCGTAATATGCATTTATGCATGTCTGTACGCATCTACGTATGTATGCATGCATGTTTGTATGTTTTTATTTATGTATGTATGTATGTATGTATGTCCGCACGTACGTACGCACGTACATAGGTATGTATGTAATTCTTAATTATGTTTGCTTGTTGATCTGTCCATTTTAGTTTGTTGGTTTTACTTGTTATGCACACAGTTTTTCGCTTTGATGGGCTTCGGTTCAGAATTTGCGACCTAAACCCTAAACCTTAAACCGAAATACCCGAAAGTAGTGATTTTGCCTGCAGAGGTTTCTAGCACGGTGCACTCACCAGCACTTAGCATCCTCGAGCTCGTTCCAGCTGCTTTCAGGGTTTTATTATGAGGGGTACTACAACCCTAAACCCTAAACCCTAAACCTTAAGGGTCTAGGATTCAGAGCTTCTTTGAGGGTTTACCCTGCAACCTGACCCTTCAGCCCCTATTCCAATGAACCTTTGAATCCCGAATCGGCGAACATTTCTACATTCTAAACCCACCCACCCACCGGGCACCCGCAACCCCAGTTTGGTGCCTGAGTAGCAATTCGCAGGGTCTATGTTCGAGATCCTCGTTTGTAAAGGGCCCGGTTCCTTCCAGGAAGTTCAGTCATAGGTTCCCGAAGGGTTCTGTATAAGAGTTGCATCACCCAGAGGGTCCAAAGATATATTAATTAACATTTTGGACTTAGGTCCCCGACAGACCATTCCATAAATCCTAACTCCCAAACCCTAAGCCGATGGTTGCGATACACCGCCTGAGGATCTTTGCTCGTGGGAGCTGACGGCTATCGGTCGGTGGTCCGCGACAAGCTGCCTGGTGGATCGAATGTAGGCCCCCTGAGGGTTTGAGGGTGTGAGGTTTAGCGTCTGAGGGGCTTTCAGGTCTTCCACCGTCAAGGAGTGCTTTGGGTCAAAGAGTCGTTGGTCTCTGCGCTGCAAATAGAAAGCTTTTGCTGGCAGATCAAGATGCTGGTTTTCAAAGTGGTATCCGGGAAAGCGAAGTTTTCTTTACTGACTCCCGCAGGGGAGTAGAGCAATGTAATATATCGACTTGAACAACCAGCTACACTGTTTTGGGGGTTCCTTACTAGAAGTATAGTATACCTGGCCCCCAATTCCTATTCTAATTATTAAGGCCCCTACTCGAAACCCTGGTAGCCGCAATAGCAACCCTTTTAGACCCCTTTAAAAGGAACCCTTTAAAGGAACCCTAGACTTTAGCCCACAACAGGACAGGTATTCAGGTGGGGATCTTCCCAGACCTTCCAAAATCCCTGCGCCAAGGACTCATACCCCACGCCATTTTTAGGATACCTAGTGTTATGGTTAGGATCTGTTACATCGACAAGTAGATACACAAAACAACGGGTAGGGTATGAGCCTACAGATATCCCTCAAAATATCTCATTAAATCAGTTCATGGGTCCTACCACAGTTGAGTGCATATTCTTTGATGGTATTCCGACCATTGATATTACGGGAGCTAAGGAGCCAGGGATGATGATAATCCCGATTAAATAAGGAGGTATCCTAGTCCCCTAAACCCCTTCCCACTACACCCTAAACCTGGACCGGAAACTCATTCTTGAGAAGGCCAGGCTCGTCGTATGCCGCACTGACAGTTGAAAACACGAAACTAGTTGGCTTATGGCATGGTTTAGGTTTTGGGCATGCTCAGGCACCTTTTTTCTGTCCCATTTTGTGGTCTTCAGTTATTTTTGCAAAACTACAGAATAAGGGAGCCCTTTGTGTTCCAAGGCTACTTGAGATTTCGAGGAACTCCGGTCAGATTCATCATGCCGAAAGACCAGCTATCAAGATATCCGCGCTATGGTAACATAGAAAATTAGATACTTGCCAACATTATTCTCAGGGCTCCTTATCAGTATTGTACTACAATATAGCCCAAAACCCCATTCCATTCATTATGGCCCTTACATGCCCTCGATCTAAGTGCCTTACCCCAGACCCTGTCGGCATTAAGATTTCCCCAGAGCCCAGGCCGATAGCGCCTCTTTAGGGCCATTCCCAGACCTTCCAATATCCCTTAATTAAGGCAATCATACCTTAATTCATACTAGGGATCTTATTATTATTATTATTATTCTTATTATAATTATTAATTATTACTATTATTTACGGTGTATTCCTTAATCCAGGGATTTTGGAAGGTCTAGGATCTACACACCTCAGGAAACCCCAACGAATCACTTCAAAGTCATCAGCTGAAACCCTGAACCCTGAACCCTAAACCCTAAACCCTAAACCCTAAAGCCTGAACCCTAAACCCTAAACCCTAAACCCTGAACCCCAAACCGGACCCCTCAAGGCCCCTTTAGAAACACCCTACCTTAACCCTGAATAACCTACTTTTTTAGGGTTCCTTATTATGATTTCATTATATAAGTCCTTAAAAAGGTAGGGCCTTCAGGGTTAAGGTAAGCACTATAGATCTTAGAAGGGGCCCCCACCCTGTAATAGTGGTATAGTAGGAATATAATAGGGCCCTATCATAATCCTTATAGTCACTATTACAGGGTGGGGGCAGCTTCTAATATGGATCCCTTAAAGGAGCCCTTACACTAACCTTTAAACGAACCCTACGGTTGATGCTATAAATCCTGCATTACCTTCAGGACCCTAAACAATGGGAAATATAGTGTATTCCTTGTTATGGGTCATGCAGGGTTTATAACATCAACCGTAGAAGGCCTAAGTCCGCAGTTCCAAGGCTGGAGTCGTTTGACGGCGCCAAGGGGCACTTTGCCGTGGATGCGAGAAGCTCTCCTTCTGCAGGCCTTCGGTACAAGGCCTGAAAAAGGAGCCTAGGGGGGGACCTTAGGGTTTAGGGTTTGGGGGTCGAGGGACTTAGTAACTGGTTGTTTTAGGAACTTATAAGTACCATAACCCCAATTAGGGTTCCTTTTAGGCTACTTAAAAGTCTACATACTACCTACTTACTAAGTCCCCCGACCCTCCAAGTAGGGGGACCTTAAGACAGTTGTGGCATGTCCTACTTTAAAGATCGCTCGCGGTTATGTTCTTTACGAAACATATATGTATTTAATAAAGAGCTGTATCTGTTTAGCAAGAGGATATATCCTGTTATTAAGTATGTATAAATGAATATAAGTCGTTTTAACTATTGCTAAACAACTTTAATACTTATGTTACTTATGAAAGTTGTGTATTTGTTTATCTAACCCACTGAAGTGCTACTAAGATTTACCCAACAAACTAACTGCTTACCTGCATTTAGCCAAATGATTAAGTAATGGTTTAGGCAAACTTAACAACTGTTTAGCTAAGTCCTAGAAGGGCTACTAACTAGTTAGCATATCCGGATTTAAGTATTTAGCTAACTACCCGTGCGTTGTTTCGGACACACGTTTTCATGCCATGCTCACTAGATTCTACAGTAGGCGAACATGGCGATTTCTGGTTTTGTGAAATCCATGCGGCTGTTTTTGAATTCCAAACGCCCTTCAGTTGCATCTAACAACCCTGCAGCTTGCAACTTGTCTCAAGGAAATTCCAAGGCTCCAGATCGAGGATTTGAGTTGTTGGATGCAGGAAGTTGACAGAAATGGAGATGTAACTCCGAGGACATGGCAAAGCATTCGGACATGTTGCCAATTGCGACATCCCGGTGGCTCAATTTCAGGAGCAGCCATCTGGCTGTCATGATATGCATGATCTGTAGTCAAGCCGTCTGGCTGTTTAGTGTAGGTGCGAGCCTGAAGGCTGTCCATGTACCATGCATATTTGTTGCTGCTGTGGCATGGAGAATGGTGATCGCAAGTGCAGCAGCACATTCTGGCACAGCTGGTATCTGCGATTGGGCATGTGTGCATTCTCGAAGTTTTGCAGAGCCGACGGCTTGCAGGATGGCAGTACGGCCCTTAAGTTCGGGGCCAGAGAGAAAAACAGCAGGTAAGGACATTCGCCATGCACTATATCATGTTTCTATATAGTACACTTCCAGCAGGACTGCTCCAGTACTCCTGGACCATGCAGAACCTTTTCGCAAGCACAAAAAACTCCTGCCGCCTTTAGCAACCGTGCAAAGCTTCACTTCCGGAAGCATCATGGACGTCACTCCCGAGCTGCAAAAAGCCGTGCAGGCTGTGCTCGATGACACATCCGTCCCGCTACTCAGCCGGTGGCAGCGAGTAGCTGACAAGTTGGTCGAGGGTGGACTGGCATGGCGGGCGAAGTTGCAAGCGAGCAGCATGCTGGTCCACAACCACAACAGGGGCGGTCTCGGTGTCAGTGGACATGGGTGCCACCTGAAAGGCGAAGCCCTGGCCAAAAGCGGCTTCGACATGAAATTCCTCCTTTCAGCTGTCTGTTGCTTGGCTGCTCTGAGTTTGTTGTTTGCAAGTATGACAAAGCGGTGTATCTGCCCATTTGCTGCATGAGGTTTCGAGATCAGCCACGAGCCGAGCCGACTGGCTGAACAGCTGGAGTTCAACCGTAAGTTGGTGGAGCAAGCCTCCGGGCTCTTGGCGCCGCTGCAGGGTGCAGAAAGATACTTGTCCGTGAGTTGCGGGCACACAACTCAGTTTGTGAAGGCCGTCCTCTGCAGCTGCCAGACACCCGTGCTGTCTCTCGCCGACCAGACAGGCCGACTGAACAGGGAGGCCCTGGGCAGAGATAGCCATCTGAATGAGATGCTCTCCGAAGGGTGGACTTGGCTGGTGATTAGCTCTCGGGCTGAGTCCGCCTTTCCGCAGCTGCCTTCATTGGCCGAAAAGGCAATGAACAGCTCCAACTCAGCTTTCACGGCGACGATGGAAGTAGAGAGCATGCTTCATATGCAGGAGATCATGCAGAAGCAGATCGCTGAGGGCAAGGAGATCGATGTTGAGGCCGTCGCCCCCGAGGTGGTGCCTGTTGGGACGACATTGATGCAATACTCTCCGTTTTTGTGCCGATGGCTCGAAAAGTTCAGCGACGGCGGAAAGTTTCTCACCCAGTTCCTTTCGCCGTTTAGCCGAGAGCATGGAGGCAACTGTAATCTGGGAGAAGATTTTTGGGCCATGGCCGCAGGCAGAGGCACTTTCGCTGGCAATGCGGCAATGCCAATGGTTCGGCTGGCCATGCTAGCGACCAACTATGCAGCTCCTGGGCACAAGATGGTTGACGGCTATGCGAAGCTGATCGTCCAGGCTGACTGGACCAAAATGAAAAGCGCCAAATTTCAGCCGAAGGTGAATGAGATGGAGCAGCAGCTCTACGAGTGCTGGCGAGTGGCAGAGAAGGAGCTTCCGAGCTTGGACTCGGTCCGCACCTTCGGCAAGTGCTGCATTCGCATGGCACTCCATGTGCTCCAGAAAGAGTCGCTTGATTCGTTTGATTTCTTGGTTTGTTGTGCATGCTGGCATTCTCAAAACATCTGACGACCCCTATAGCCTAAAGAGAGAGACCTCTAGATTGGTCAACATTTGAGGAAGATGGGTCGAGAGGCCAAGACGTACAAGTCCCTTGCGGAGATCCGGGCACTCTTCAATGACCAAATGGCTGGGGTGGCTGCTGCCTTGTCACCGCTACAGCAGAAAAAAAATGCAGGAGCCAGTGTGGCTAGCTTGAGCGAGAACTACGACCCCCTCTACCAAGCGATGCAGCAAATCAAGCTGGAACTTGGCATGCACTACATCATGGAGGACAGGATGTGGAAGCTCGTAGCTATGTCATCGGCCACTTTGTCTCTAGAGCTTTGCGATCTCTTCGAGGCGGAGAGCAGGGACATCCCGACGGTGAAGGCGGTCAAGCTCCTCAAGGCCACGAAGCAATCAGCTCCCGAGCTCTTGCCGGCTACAATCTGCAAGAACAGGGATGTGCAGCACCTGTTTGCTATGGAGGCCATGCAAGCCGCTGCCTGGGTTTATTTGCTGAAACAGGCGGAGAAGTACGACAAGTTGTGGAACTACATTTGCTTGGATGGCACAGGCAAAAAAGCTTACACTTCTGTGAAGATTCCCAAAGGCGGCCTCATGCTGGTTCCCTCGACAGATTCGCCCCACAAGCTGGTTCAAAAGGAGCCCGATAAGAAAAAGCCATACGGCTTCTTCAAGTTCGGAGGGACGGATTTCTATATCCTTCCACCCGCCATTTATCGAAAGGGTGACGGCTTGGCGAAGCCAGACACTGGGAGCACGTGTGCTTACTGGTGGGTGCAGAGGGGCCAAACAGCAGGGTCGCAGGATCCATGCTGCATGGAGGAGCACGAGTGGCAAGTGGGCAAGAACAACATGATCGTCGTGCTCCAGAACTCCGTGCCGATGGAGAAGCACACCCTCCTCACCATGGAGCTGGAGGAAGAGGAGGAGCAGAATAGTCGACCTGCGAAGAAGGCCAAGAAGTGAAGAGCCCTCGAAGGGGCTGCAGATGTTGCAGGAGCTGAGTAGAAAGCTTCTGTCTATGCAGTCGCAATCGTATGGGTAACCTTGTCGGTTGAAGAAGATTGCAGATATTTCATGTCTGAGTACATCAGTTCTATAGCTCTGCAATCCAAATCGTTTAATCAACCTTTTCGCCTCAACCCAGAGGACGCCCGCTTGATTTTTTTCAATCGGCCGCTTGATTTTGGAGGCACACGAAACTTCTATTGAATTTGAGGAAATTTCAATCGTTTGGAACTTTTGTTGGTACGTGTTTCTATTGATTTTGAGTGTTGACTTCTATTGATTTTAATCGTGGTCTTTCTATTGATTTTATGGAAAATTTCTATTGATTTTATGGAAAATTTCTATTGATTTTATGGAAAATTTCTATTGATTTTATGGAGATTTTCTATTGATTTTGAGGTGGATGTTTCTATTGATTTTATGGAGATTTTCTATTGATTTTGAGGTGGATGTTTCTATTGATTTCAGCTTGCTGAAACGACGGCCCGGGCGGCCCCAGTTTGCTAACCAAATAGAGAGAGAGAGAGAGAGAGAGAGAGAGAGAGAGAGAGAGAGAGAGAGAGAGAGAGAGAGAGAGAGAGACAGAGAGACAGAGAGACAGAGATACAGAAAGACGGAGGAGACAGACAGAAGAGATGGGATGTGGGCCGGACGGCCCCACGAAGGGAGAAGGCGGGGGAATCATTTTTGGCAGGTTCGTGCATGGCAGCCGTCTTGCAACCAAAGCTTCCAGGGGCCGGACGGCCCTAAGAAGGAAGAAGGGGGGGAATCATGCTTCAAATCTCGTGCATGGCAGCCGTCTTCAAGCCAAGCTGCCAGGAACTTTGGGCTAGGTCAAGATGCAGGGCGATGATGAAATTGTCGTCCAGGCCTATGCCAAGCTGCTTCACGCCAAGGTTCCAGGCAAAGTCGCGAGGTCCTTGGTCGTGATGTGGCGGAGAGGTTACCTAGACCAGCTGGAGATTCTTGGCATGAACACATATACATATACATATATATCTACATATATATACTTATACATATGCCGTATATAGACTATGTATTTAATTTTTTACTTATATAGAGCTAAGGGATGTCGACAAGGAAGTGGGCTTCCTGAACTTTTTGGAGTACCTCATGTACAAGATCGAGAATGATATGGACATCGACCCCGAGCGCTGGCCGGAGGCGACGAAGCACATGAAGATGAAGGAGCACGGGTACATCCGCTTGTTGCTCAACGATGCTTCATTGATCGCTCTCCAAGCAAACCCAGGCCCCTTGAGCGGAATGACGAAGCCTCAACTACTTTCGGAAGCAGTGCGGGTGGGGCTTAAGGTACACCAGTCCTGGAGCGACCAGGAGTTGCGGGCGAGGATCATGGAGCACGTGGACGCTACATTTTTTTGAAATTGAGCCGC